TTGAGACTTCCTCCCCAACGGACGCATCTAGACCCTCCCCAGATACTACACATACTCCTCCAAGTGGCGCAGAAACCATAACTTCTTCTCCAGTACTTAATACCAGTGAGATGTCCACCATGCAAGGTGGTTCTTCAGGGAGCACTACTTCAGGACTTCCCCAAGATCTGATTTCCACCACCATTCTATCTTTACCAATGACCACCAACACAACCACTGGAACCACAGGTAAGTGTGATTCCTCCAAAGCCTCCTCAGGGAGGGTGGTCACAGGGGGGTGCGTGGCAGATAAGTGCACTCAGTAAGGAGAGGAAGTGGGCATCAACAGACCCTAGGTTTCTTTGGATATGAACTGTGGGTTTAAACCTGGAATCATAAAGACAAGTAATGATGGCAGAAACCCTACAAGATTCCCTGGGTTCCCTTCTGTTCATCTTTTACTAAAGTTCCAGCTGCTCTGAGAAGACCAGCTCTAAATAAGCTATGCCTCTTCAGCCACGTGGTCCAGCCCCTGGTGTACGTAAGGAAGAATTCAGTTCCACCCTGAAGTTAAGATAGTGGCTGCTCCCAGTGTGGAAACCGAGCCAAACCAGGGAATTTGAGCCCAAGGGATAAGAAGCCAAACCACAGCAGTGTTCAAACGGTGCTAGGATGAGCAGGACTGCTGTCAAAGGACAGGTGTTTTCTGGGGTGCTAAGAGATGATAATTGACCTTAAGCCAAAGTTATTGAATAAGGAACCACCTGCCTCATTTCCCAAGGTGTGGTCTAAGCAGGAGTCTGCAAACTTGATTAACAAAGGCCAAAGAGTAAATGTATTCGTCACCATAGGCCACTCAGTCTCTGCTGTAACTGCTCCACCCTGCCATTTTAACCCCGAGGCAGCTGTAGTTAACATATAAACGGGTGAGTGTGGATGTGTTCCAGTAAGCTTACCTTACAAAAACAGGAATTAGGCAGACATGGTTCATGAGCCACAGTTTACTGGCCACTGGTCTGGTAGAATCCTAAAACTCCCAAGCTACAAGAGTCTAGATAAACCATGATACTCTCAGATGGGGAAACTGAGGCTCAGTGAGGGCACTGCCTTGCCTAAGGTCAAAGGGCAAGTTGGTGTCCCTCTACACTTCTGATAGCTTTGCTGGTGTTCTCGGCTAGATCTAAGAGACGGACAGTTAAGCAAAGAGAGCCCAGAGCCTGCATCTAAGCTCTGTTCCCCAGCCTTTTTTACATTTAACGGGACCTTTTTGCAGGCTAGGTCAGATGGGGCACATCTACGATCAGCTCTGCTAGAACAGGAGAGGGAGCTTCCAGTGTCTTCCCCAGAGTGGGGTAGTCAGCTTCCTGTGTTCTTTTTTTTTTTTTTGAGGCAGGGTCTCACTATGCAGTTCAGGCTGGCCATGAGCTCACTTTGTAGCCCAGGCTGGTCTAGAATTTGCAACAATCCTCCTGCCTCAGCCTCCCAAGTGCTAGGATTACAGGCATGTGCCACCACACCGAGCTAGCTTCCTCTATTCTTGCGCTACCCTGAGCACGGCCTGTGAGGAGGCTCGGTCCTCTCTCGGTACCCATTTGTAGTAAGATGTACCTGGAGTAAATTGCAGCCAAATCCCTTCCAGCTGTGACATCCTGTGACTTAATTCTCAGTTACAGGATAACCTAACCAGTCTGCCCTCCATTGCTAAAGGGAAAACACAACCAAGAGTTAGTTATTTGTCTGGTCTCCAGAGAGGAGCTGGACTCAAATTTCTTGCCTAGGATTTTCCAAATCATGCTTGCATCTAAAAATTGGCCTTCTGCCTGTAATCCCAGCACTCAGAGGCTGAGGCAGGAAAATCACCATGAGTTTGAGACCAGCCTGGGCTACAAAGTGAGTTCAAGGCCGGCCTGAATTGCATAGCTAGACCCTGTCTCAAAAAAGACGAAAAAAAATGGCCTTAACAAAAAGCTATTTATTTTACTTAGAATAGCATCCAACCTTGTTAGGGAGATGGTTCTTATTGCTGTTTATGAGGTAGCAAAGTATGACTCCTTTTGTCCCATGCAGTCTAATTCTTCTTTCTCCCTTAAAAAATTTTAAATAGACTTTATTTATAGAGTAGTCTGAGACTCACAGCAAGATTGAGGAAAGTACAGGAATTTCCAATACACCTGTCGCCTCACATAGGCATTGTGAACATCGCCCACCAAGGGGCACATCTGATGGCCTCTATGTCACCACATCGTTAATGCATGAAGACTGTAGCTGGCATTGTGTTCACTCTTGGTACTGTACATTTTATAGGTTTGAATAAATGTACAAGTGGGTCCATTATGATAGTATCATATCAAGTAGTCCTAAAATTCCTCTCTGATTTCCTGTTCATCACGCTTAAGCCCTGTCAACCACTGATTTTCTTTTTACTATCTCTGTAGTTTTACCTTTCCCAAAATGTCAAATAATTGGAATCACCAGGTAGTTAGACTTTTCAGATTGGCTTCTTTCATTTAGCAGTATGCATTTCCTTCATGTCTGTTTATCACTTGATAGTTTATTTTTAAGTGCTGAATAGTATTCCATTGTTGGGATATACCATAGTCCATCCCATTTCTTAATAAAAGACATCTTATTTACTTCCAAGTTTTGAAAATCATGAACAAAACTCAGTTATCAAATCTGCGTGCAATGTTTTGCATGGACCTAAGGAGCATGATTGCTGTGTCATATGTTAAAAGCATGTTTAATTTTTTTGAACTGGGAATCAAACTCAGAACCTCGTGCTTGTCAGGCAGGTGCCGTGCCGTTGAGCGATATCCCTGACCTTGGCATGTTTAATTTTGTACGAAACTGCCAAATCATTTTCCAAAGTGCCTGTGCCATGTTCGATTCCCATCACCAATGAATGAGATTTCCTCTTGCTGTGTTCTCACCAGCACTGCTGTGTTTAATGAACTTTGATTGGTTGATTGATTGCAGTGCTGGGGAGGCAATCCAGGGCTTCATGCATGCCAGGCAACCACTCTATCCCAGCTACACCCCTATTTTTTAATTTTTTTTTTTTTTTGTAAAACAAAATTAGGACCATGATTATGGAAAAGCAACTCAAACAGAACAAAAGCACATGTAATGAAAATTAAATCTCCCGAGCTGGGAATGTAGTTCAGTCCCCGTCACTGCAAAAGAAAAAAAAATTCAATCTCCTTCCCATCCTAAACCCACAGGCCCTTACTGTCCTTCCCTAGAAGCATCCTCTGTGGCCAGTTTCTTGAGTCTCCCTCAGAGACAAGCTGTGCAAATACACGTACATGTGCATATCAATTTGTGGTATCTATGTGTGTCTTCTCCCTCCATCACAAGAGAGAGTGCTATACATCTAATATCCTAGATAGCTTTTTAAAAAATGAACAGTTTCTACCTACAGATTTGTAAGAATCTCAAGACAGTGCTAAAGTTTGTCAAACTATTAAGCTATTGTGAAATCGAAGCTCGGAATCATAGCAGTAGACAGAGAAGGAGAAAATGGCCAACTAAGATCGCCACATGGCCGCTGGCGGAACTTCCTGTTCTGTTCTCAGGAGAGAGGAAGACGCTGGGCCTTTCTGTCTCAGGAGCCTCGGCCAGTGGGGTGGGAGCCGTGGAAGTCTTATTCTCACCACTGACTCCAGCCATCCACTCAGAAAGACAGGCTGTAGTGTCCCTTCATGGCCTCTGTCAAAGCCACATTCTCTCCTTTATGATCCCTTCCTTTCTTCGTGGGTATGTACACCAGGGAGCTTAGCCAGAATATGTCTCCTGGTTTCTTTTTGGGATGTCATGGCTATTCCTCCATATAAAATGTTTATTCGCCCCTTCCTAAGAAATGTAAGGCTTTATCCAAATGGCCCCTGAGTGTTAGGCCTCAAGGTTCTGGGGAGCTCTGGAAATCTCAAGATTCCTGACTCCGTGGAATTAGGAGACCACTGTCTTTTTCTCTTACTCTTTCCAGCAGGCCTTTGTCCACCATCCTTTAATGTTTGCTGTCATCAAGCACTCAGCTTCAAAATGTCAGCCAAAGACTTCCCAGAGAAGTAGGAAGCACGGATTTGGTCCTAGCTCTTCTAAGGGCAAACTATATGAGTAACACAGCCAAGGAAAGTGCCTGGGGGAGGCACGCTGATTAGGAAATATGCTTCCAGGCATAGTTCGCTGTCTTTTCTGTGGATTTCTAATCTTTTTCTACTCCATCCAAGGTCCTAAGAAGCTTTGCGATGCTAACCCCTGTGGAGCAGTTGCTTCCTGTGTTAATCTATATGATGAATATATTTGCCTGTGCACGGAGGGGTATTACTTCAGCTCCGACACATGTCTGAGAGGTGAGTTACAAGGGGCGCACCATGGCAGACCTCTGAATCTCACACCTAAAGTGGAATAGGAAACTCAGAATGAGATGTAATGAAATATTCCACAGAATAGGAGAGGTAGAAGAAAATTTGGAGACCATACAGGCCACCCAGTAGGGAAATGGTTCCAGTCTTTGTCCCATGAAAGCCAGTGGGAGACGAGATGGATCAAGTGAGACTTGAGAATAAGGTCTGAGTGGGCTTATCCCTTCTGCCTGCTGCTCCAGAGCACGTGCTGTGGACCCCAAAGGAAAGCAGTAGATATTGGAGCCCCTGGAAAACAACAAAGGCCTTGAGACTTCAAGGTACTTGTCTCCAAAGTGTTGTTACAGCCTGGGACACTGAGACAGAGATGCAGGCAGCATGGCCTGGGAGCCTCGTTTTTTGCTGTTGGCTCAGTTCTGTGGCCCAGGATCCTCTTGCTCCATGACGGAGACAGAGAAGACCCTCAGCTCTGGAAACAGATTTTGAGAGCAGCAGTACAGCCCTGGCGTAGGGCTGCAGGGTAGCTCACCTGGCTCCGTGCAGGCCCGAGGCCTATCTGGCTGCCTGAGTTCAGTTCTTCTGTTTCATCAATCCGAACTCTCACCCTGCCAGAGCAAGTGCACTGTGCTGCCTGCAGACACTGGGGATGTGCCAAAAGCCAAACAAAATTCAAATTTTTAATACAAATCATCTCGTTTCTGGGATCTACTCTAAGTAAATGACCCTAAAAAAAGATTCGGCCAGGCACGCCTGTAATCCTAGCATTTGGGAGGCTGAGGCAGGGGGATCGTTGCAAGTTTGAGACCAGCCTGTGCTACAAAGTGAGCTCAAGGCCAACCTCAACTGCATAGTGAGACCCTGTGTCAAAAAGAAAAAAAAAAAAAAGGTTCATACATGATGTATTCACTGCACCCTCTTTCCTCCCTTTTAAGTAGAAGAGCTAAGTCCAAGAACAAAAAATGACCACAACAGCAAGGAGAACACATACTTGGTAGAATACTGTGAAGTCTTTAAAAATGATAGCTATCTGCCCGGTGTGGTGGCACTCACCTGTCATCCCAGCACTCAGGAGGCTGAGGCAGGAGGATTACCATGAGTTCAGGCCAGCCTGGGCTACAAAGTGAGCTCAAGCCCAGCCTGAACTGCATAGCGAGACCCTGTCTCAAAAAGGCAAAAATAAATAAATTTTTAAAAATAAAATAAAATAAAAACAATAGTTATGAAGATAAGGGCATGATTTGGGAAACTGCTTCTTATTTAATAATAAGTAAATAAAAAAAAAAAGTGGGGCATGTTATCAACTTGGGACTAAAATGGTGTGAACTGGGGGGAGGAACACACCAGAACAAAAATAGTCGTGCAGCTTGGGTCAGATCACGAATATCTCTGTCAAAATATTTCCAGACTCCTTGTAGTGTTATCATACAATATTCCAATCTTTAAAAAGATAATTTATATTTTAAAACAAAATGGAAATGACCCTCTTTACATTAAACAGTATAGAAAACCTTTGTTTTGGGGCTGGGGATTTAGCTCAGCGGCAAAGCGCCTGCCTTGCAAGCGCAAGGTCGTGAGTTCGGTTCCCGGTACCGGAGAAAAACCAAAACCAAAAAAAAAAAAAAAAAAAAAGAAAACCTTTGTTTGACTTTCAGGAAAGACATTCCCTGGAGAGATTACAGTAGAGGTAACTGATACATCTGACTTGCAAGATGAAACTTCTCTGGCCTATCAAAGCTTGTGGCAATATATTACTACATTTGTAAGTATTTCCCCACCTCCCTTTCTGTGGAAACATTCTCTGTTCTCACACTGGGCCACAGAGGGAGGCGCTGGTCGTGCCGCTGTCCCCCTGTGGCCCAGTCCTCTCCGTGGACGCCTCATATCTCCCACGCAGAAGCAGGCACCCAGCGTGGCAGAGGAAGCTTGTTCCAGCTGTGTGGTGCTGCTTCTTATAGAAGCGATCGATCTAGCTTGAAATGGACAGGAAATAGAATGATGTTTTAAAATAACTGACTGCCCAGTGGGCTGGGGATGGAGCTTCGTGGTAGAGCCTTTGCCGAGCATGTGAAATGAAATGCCCTGGCTTCAATCTCTGGCCCCACAAATGAATTACTTAATTCATTAACGATTTTGGACCGAGTGTGTCATGTAAGCAAGCAGTGGTAGAGTGCCTGCTTAGTATGCATGAAGTCCAGTTTGATTCCCAGAACAGCACGAATTAAAAAATAACATGGAAGAGAGAAAAATTTCAAGATTTTTTTACATTCAAATTTGTATAAACTTCCAAACAGTCTGGCTTTAAAAAAAAAATCTAGAAGAGGAAACCAAATCTGAATTTGCATCCATTACTTTTTTTCCATTGTCAAAAATATTGAATCACAGTTTTCATTTCACCCGGATCTCTGTGAGCAAAGGTATCAGCATGGAAGCAGAGGATATCCCTATTCTATTCCAGAAGTGCAGGTGTCAGGCCTGGGGCTGCTGCTGGTTTTCCTCAAAGTTTAGTTTCTAAGGGACAAATAATCAGCCTCAAGTCTGCCTTAAGACTTTAGGTGCAAAAACACCTTTAAAGACTAAATTCTTATTCTGTGGGGCCGCCTTTCAATTCGGAACTATCCCTACGAAAGAGCTTTGCTATTCGAACTGGTAGTGTGTCAACAATTGCTATGGGAATGACCTGACAGCCTTCACAGAACGGAAGCCAGGGATCCCGAGGCAGCGCCTGCCCCTGACATGGCCGGGATGAGGGCTGTGGGCACCCGGTCATGGGGTTCACGCTGGCCCCTCTGCCAGGCCCCCTCTGCATGAGGGCCCAGCTGCATGCTTCCTCTGATCTTGGATATGCGTCCTCATTTGTATTTGCCAGCTTAGGGATATTCAGTGCACTGGAGACCGTGACATACGCATATTCCTCTTCCCGGGGCTCCTCTGCGTGGCCTCATGTGGCCTTCCAGAGGACTGTGGCTACTGAGGCCCCCAGATCTGCCCATGGGTCTGAGGGTCACAAAAGCCCCCTCCCCTTCCAAGGCTCATGCCCTCGCCTTCAGAGTTGGGCTTTGAGGCTTGATCTCAGCCAGGTCTGAACATGCCTGGGGAAGCCGGTGGGGATGAAGCATGTTTATAACTTTAGAGATGATTAACCCAGAAGGATGGCATGATACCCTTGCCACACCCGGTGTGGAGTTAGGAGAATGGAGAAACCCACCTCCTTCTAGGTCTCCTTGGGAGACTTAGTGAAGCATCCCAGATCGGGCCAGGGGAATCTCCAGAGTCCCCTTGTCCCCGGTTGGATCTGGCTGGACAGTCTAGAGTTTCTCTCTTGGATGCTATACATTCTCTGTGTGATGTTTCTCATTCTCAAAATAGCCCTATAGGGGAGATAGTGCTACTGTGCCCATTTTACAGATGAGGTAACTGAGGGTCAGAAAGATGAGTAACTGATGATGAGTGAGGAGGTTGGCACTTGAACCCAGGCCTGCCTGGCCACAGACTTCCCTGGCTCCCCTGCTGGCTCTGCTGTGCACTGGAGCTGGTCAGGACCATCTGCTTAGCTCATGACTGCTTGTCCTATCTTACAGCCGCTCAGATTAAGAGCTGTATATGCAGCATCCTCACAGGTGACCAGGGTGGGGTGGGAGGCAGGGAACATCTTTACATCAGACGCTAATCCTCAAGCTTATTTTCGGGATTAGGAGAACTCTAGGGACAATGGCTACCAGGGGAGGTGCAGAACTTTCCAGGTCAGCTAGCACATTTGCTCCTAACAGGGTATAAAGAAATCTGGATGCATCCTGCATGTAAGGTCAGCAAGGCTACTAGAACACCCAGTTGAGCTGAATTTGGCTAGAAGTAAAGAGATATCCTTTTTTAATTTAAATTGAACATCTTTTTAATACCACTGGTTGTCAGTCTACGATGTGGGGTCCCTGTAGGAGAAAAATAAAGCGGTAGGCTATGAAAAGGTTGCACTGACCTGGTTCCGAACAGTTTCCATCCACGCAGTGTGTGTCACGTGTTTCCTGGGCATGGCCCTGTGTGCAGCAGCAGCAGTGGCCAGGGTGGAGAGAGGAGGGGAAGTAGATGAAGCTGCGGAACAGGAAAGAGAAAAACCTGTTTTGGGCATCAAAGACATAAGCTCTGACCAGAAGCCGCAGCCACCTCCACCTCGGCCTGGGCAACTTTACCTACAGTCACTCCCTCTGTGACCTTGAACTACATGTTTCTAGAACACAGCCCACACCAGATAACCCACCTGTGCCCCCAGAGCCAGGTGCACGTGCTCCAACTTGCTGTACACACCGTGGCCCCGTGGCGTGAGAGCTGCTGTTCTGCATACTCCCCAACGAGAAAAGTCAGGGTCAGTTGAACACAACGGGCCGAGCTGACTTTAGGCGTTCTTCCCAACTAAGTCTGTTCCCCTGAGCCTCACGGCTGTCCCGCCACCACCAACTGACCTCAGGTCCTTCTCCTTCAGAAGTCCTCCATGGTCCTCCGTGACAGGAAGAGTCTCTTTGGACTTCAGCGTAGCCCATCTCTCTCTATGGCACTCCTGGGTGTGATTCCCCCAACTGGATCGTGAGGCTGGGACTGTGCGGTTGATGACCAGAATGCCCCCTAGCATGCCTTGGGCCAGGGAGGCAGTTAGTAAATAGACATTCCTGGGTGACGGATGAATGCATGAAGCACGTGTATAGATCAGACTAGCAAGTACTATTCGAAACTGACAACAAACTGAATAAACTGTCCCCTTGTTTTTAAGAGTAAAAACATTGATGTGATGAAGTGTTTTCCATCTTTCGCCTGGATAACACTGACTTATATTAGACTCTTACACTTTACAGCAAGGATTACCATTAGCAGCCATGTCAACAGCAAGTAATTTGTTCTGAGATGCTATATATATTTATAAAAATGAGTTTACAAATTTGTGTTAAGACCTAGGTAGGGAAACGCTTTAATTTTTTTTTCAACTTACTGTTAAATCTGTTCTCACCCACAGTTTCAAGACGCATTTGTCGGCACAGATTACAAACAGACTGTACTTCATTCAGTAAGGTAAGTGTGCTGTAGACGGATGGGGCACTTCGGAGGCAGGCAGGGGATGGGTAGCTCTGGGTAGCTCACAGCCATCTCTTTCCTTGTGGGGGTGAAGGAGGAGGAGATGGGACACCCAAGTCACACACCTGGCTACCAAGGGACACATCATGAGCTCTTTCTGCTGTCAGAACAGTGTTTATTGAGCACCTTAAGTGCTGACAAGAGCTGGGTGCTACATAAGGACCTAAAGAGACAGAGGATTCTCAGGAAGTTCGCAATTCCACCTCAGCCTTCTCTGGAGCATATTAACATGCAAGCTCAGGGCTGAGAGAAAAGAATGCTCCAGGATGAACGAAGCTGTCCAGAGAAAGCAGTGCAATGGAGTATTTATGTTCTAAGTTTTACTATTGTATTTTTTCCTAAAAGCTATGTCAACCATTTGTGGAATAGGATAAAACATATGTACAGATGACTGGTCCTCTGTGTGCATGGGTTTCACATTCAAGGATTCAACCAACTGCAGGTCGCAAGGGTTTTTTTAAAAAATTGCATCTGTAAACAGCACAGCATAACAAGCATTTCCATGGCATTTACATTGTACTCAGTATGAAATTAATCTGGAAAGGATTTTCTGGATACAAAAGGATATGTGTCAATTGTATGCAAATAGTATCTAATTTTATAGAAGACACTTGATGGAGCATCCCTAGATTTGGATCTGTGGGGCATCCCGAACCAATCTCCAGTGGGTGCTGAGAGATGAGAGTGTGTGTGTGTCTGTGTGCACGTTGCATGCACGTGTGTGTGTGAACATTTCAGACCAGCCTTCGGAAGGTGGTGACTTCAAGCTTGCTCTGCACGGGCACAAGTCTGGTTCGTAGACAGGAGAGGCCGTGCTGGCCCAGGGAGGGCCTGGCAGCACACAGAGAAGCTCTCGATCCAAGCACAGGGCTCTGGAGATGGAGGCACAGCAGACAGCAGCTGAGGGCTGTGAAATGTTTTAGGGTTTAGTGGATAATAGCTGGTACACGATCATATGTGGTGACAGGATTAGAACAAAAACCATGAGGGATGGCAGAGTCAACCAAAACTGTGCTTGCTGAATGATGGCCCAGGAGTGCTAACCCCTCTGAACCTTCATTACCCTGTCTGTACAGAAGGGACAATCTGATCAGGCTCCCTGCAACCTCGGGAGTAAATGAGATCATGCTGGAAGATTCCCTGCATGCATCAGTCAGGGTTTACTAGAGAAACAGATATAACACAAGATATACAAATGTAGAAGTAATTACAAGATCGGCTTACGATGACCACCACAGAGTTGGATGAGGAAGTGTGCAGAAGGTGTCTGCACACTGGAAATCGAAGGGTTCAGTCCAAGGTCTGGGGCTCACTGCAGTGTTCCATACAAGTCCGTATCAGGAGGCTGAGGGATTGCAATAAAAGGCTGAAGAGCCTATGCCAGAAGGCTGAAGAGTCCCAGGCGTAAGCCAAACAGTCTGTGCTGGAAGCCAAGAGAAGACGTCCAAGCTGAGAGTGAAGACTGGAGCTACTCCAGAGAACCAGAGATCAGTCCTTCCCCATTTCCCTTTTATTGTGCCCAGGCTACCCAGGGGGAAGGGGATCCTTTACACCCACACCATCTCCCTGCTCTCCTCTCAAAATGAGGGCCCTGGCCCCCTGCTGAGCCACTTAGTTAAACTTCCAAACTTACCAAGTTGACCCAATGAACAGCATCCTGGAGCAGTAAGGGCATGTCCTCTATACCCTAGGATATAGAACTGCTGAATTACTTAGTTAAGCTTCTGGATTTCTCAGGTTGACACAATGTATCAACCATTACACTTGTGTTCCCTAGCAGGTAGCCAATTTCAGCACCGTCTGTTTCATTTCAGAGTAGGGGACCCTGTGATGTGATCAAGAATTGGTCCCAAAGTCATCTGAGGCAGATTCCCCCAAGCTGTGGCACCCCTTTGTGCCTAAGGAGTTGCTGAAAGGGAGCCCAGGGAATCTGGAGGCCAGCTTTTACCTGTTGACTCAGCATTATGGAGAACTACTTCCCTCCCTCCAGAGCCAATGCAGGACAAACGGGTCTCGCCTAGGAGGGCATTTTTTAAACTCCAGCTCCAGCTTTCCACCTACCATACAAATGTGGGAACTGAAAGGATCCTTGGAATTTCTCTCTCCCAAACTTCTCTTAGGACAGAGGAAAAAACTCAGGCTCAGAGAAATGTTTACCTTTGGGCTGTACCAGCAAGCTACAGCAAGCTTGGGTCTAGCCCTCCTCTCTTAAAGCCAACTCTACTATTCTAGTCATTTTCCCTCAAATAGACCATGGCACCATCATTACCTTGAAATATCTTGGGGTTCAATGTCTTTCTCCTGAGCTAGAGTGTAATCTAACAGGTTCTTGGATGAATATATTATGGATGGTATTTTCTAGCCCCAGTGGAAAATTATGCCATAGATTTCTGATCATTTTTAAGCAATATAGAAAAACTTGTATATTCCTTCTCACTAATGTAGATAATCCGTTGCCACCCCTCAAATCCTAACATGAGTACATTCTGGTAGAAATGTGAAAATTAAACTTCTGGTTAATTTTTTGGATGTCTTTTTGAGGTAATTATCCCTCAAAGTGGAATTTGGTTCAAGTTTTGGATTTTTTTTCTTTTTTGATTGTTCTGAGGATCCAATACTGGCTATAAACATTTCCCAAGTAGGTTGGATATGTTTTTAAGTTTCTCTATTTTAAAAGTCAAAATGGAGCATAGAAAAATTTAGAAAGCAGAAATACATCCTGAGGCCTAAAGGCACAGAACCACAGCCGGGCATGGTAGTGCATACCTGTCAACCCAGCACTCAGGCTGAGGCAGGAGGATTGCCATGAGTTTGAGGCTAACCTGAGCTACATAGTGAGTTTAAGGCCAGTCTGGCCTACATAGAGAGACCCTGTCTCAGAAAAAAATGCACAGAGTCACAAGTCAAACAGGAAAGAAATTTATAATGTCCTTTTTTTCTTCTTCTTAGAGCTTGTATCACTTGCCTCCCTTTGGCTGATTAGAACGTTAGCACTTCTTAGCGCTTCAAACTGCAGTGCTGATTAGAGAGCGGGAAACTGTGTAGCGCCTTGCTGCAGCATGCATTCAGCATTTGGTAGGGTACTTGGCATTCGCTGCCCATGTTTCACTCTGCGCATTCCTCTTTGTTTCATTCTCCTTGGGCCACATGCATTCGGCCCCAATCAGGGTCACTGTGAGGCCACCTGCTGACTCCCTGGCCCTTTCTGGGAGTGGCCTGGGCTCTGTCTTATTGCTTACTGCTCTCTCTAGATGCAAGGAGCAGTACACACCCCTCTGTCTCTCTCAGAGTAAGCATCTGATGTAATAGCTAACAGACCCATCCTTGCTGTCCTATAGAAAGTGACAACTTGCCATTCAGATGTACTCATTCTAGCCCGGGTTCACTGCAGATTCCTAGATGCTAAAAATGATTGTCCACAAGTTTCCTCACTATCTTCTAGCAGGACACTGTTTTTGCTGTAGCTGTCCTCTGAACACACATCCAACGCCGATCTCTGACGTGGTCTCCTAGCTCTGGGCCTCCATAGGGGTCCCAATTATAGAGACAGAACAGTGAGTCAGGACAAGGGCTGGGAGATTCGGGAATCTTAGAGGCTTGAAACTCTATTTCTTGGCCCTTCCACTCAATTCCACTAGTGACAGATTTATTTATTTTATTTTTAGCACATCTTCTCTACAAGCAAAATCTGTAAGGGTGTCTGTAAGAGTAGTGAACATTTTTGAACAGAATACAACTGAAAGTGAGACAAGTATATCTGCTCAAATTGATAAAGAAATTGAAAACCACAAGAACATTTCAGAATATTCACGTAAGTATTGGATAATTTTACTCCAAGTTTACCTTAAGATCTATCCTCCTATTTGTAAATCTTTCTGTTATATGTACACTACATAGTTGAATCAACAGATGTCTCTAGATTTTCTTTTAACTAATCCCCGCCTCTCTCTTTGCTCTCTCACCTGCCTTCTACTCCTTTCTAGCCACCTCCCATGTCTTCAGAGTGATTAGTTGGTTCCTCCCTTGCAAGACACAAGTGACCAGACAAGTCATCTCTGGACAGGAGAACATGGGAAAATGAGAATCAAAGCATTTTATATGGAATTACAGCTTTCCAACTGAAACAGAAAGTTTTACCTATTCTGTTCCCACTTTCCATCTGACCTGCAAGCCCCCAGTGCAGCTGTAACGGCTATAACAGTGCAGCTGGGTCTGCTCAGTCATAAGCCATCAGAAAATTTGGTGGCTTAACACACCACTATTTCTTTATTGCAATTCCGTAATTCTGTGAGTCAGAACTTGAGATGGGTTCAGCTGGAGGGTTCTTTGGTCTAGGCCAGGCTTAGCTGAGCTCTGCTGGGCTCACTTAAGCATCTGCTGTTAGTGGTTAGATCAGTGGGGGGCTGGCTGTTCTCAGAGGATTCCATGGATGGCCTGTTTCTTCATGAGAGGGAAGGGAGTAAAGTTCAATTTACAAGTGTTTCTCTAGCTTTGCTTATATCACATTATAATCATCCTAGTGATCAAAGCAGGTCACAGAAGCAAACTAAGGGTACCAGAAGAAGGGCCCTAGTAGAGGACATGGATCCCTCTCTCTTTCTCTGGCTGCCACTTGGTCCTCGTCTCCCAAGGGACCCATTGCTTTTATCTGCCTTCTGGTTGAGGTCAGAATTTTACCCAGAGTAACAATTCATGCAATCAGAATCTCTGTCCCTTGGTCCTTGTGACACACTTTGCTTTGGGCTAGTTGAGACTTATAGCAAATGTAAAGAAGTTGACTGTCCCCATAAGCATAGGCTCTGGCCACTCAGGGTGGTTGGCAGCTGAGCACAGTCCATGTTTTCCTTAAAATAGTGTTCAAACTGCCCAAGAAATTCTCTCATTTGAGCTCTGCTGAGAGATTGCCTTAGCTACAAGCCATGGTGTAATTGAAACCATTTGGCCCCAGCGCTAAAATTTACTTTTCAGACAACTCCCCATGACTTCTCCCTCCACCGTGACACCTGGCATTCATTCTTAGACACATTAACAAAATGCCAAATGCTGTCCTCTAGAGATACCACAAGAGCGTAAATGCCAGGAAAATGGAAGCCAGGGTCCTATAACTTGTAGAGACAAATACCTCTTCTGCTGTCCAGCTTCAATGGCTAAAACATACTCCTGTACTCAAAGGCATAAAATCTTCCTCTAGACTCTTAACTGGAGACACTTTTCAAGTTGCAGGTGAGGAAAGAAGGTTAGTTGTGGCTTGCGATATTTAGTAAAGAGCAGTAGCACCACTTTCCTACCTGCTTTTCTTTCCCCCTAATCTACTCTCAGATTCTTCTTTTTAAACCCTCAGGCTTTCTAGTCCATTTATAGACTGTTATTCTTAAAAGATATCTTTCTCATGCTGTGCTCCTGCTCAAAATCTCCCAAGGATTGTTGGGTGATAGAATAAAATTCCTTGTCCTGAGCCTGACATTCAAAATCCCATACTTCTCAGTGAGCAAAAGAATGAGGATTTGTTGAGGATCCTGTAATAGGCGCTATCATTGATATGAGCTCACTCAGTTCCCATAACTATGGGAAGGGAATGAAGGGAATGAAGGGAACTTGGACTCCACCCAAAATCAAATGATGGAATAGAGAGTCCATGGGCAATAACCGGCAAAGCCAGGAGCTCTAGTTTTCTCTCAGCTCACCACACTACCTCTCCCCTACCCAAGTACAACTATCTGGAGATATAGCTCAGTGGCATAAGTGCCTGCCTTGCAAGCACAAGGTCCTGAGTTCGATTCCTGATACAAAAAAAACCCCAACAACACACAACTCCATAAATCCGACAAGATTTCTGTGCTTCTTTTGATAACTCTTTACTCCAATTAAACAGCCTTTGTCTCTCCTCTAATTGTTTCAATCTTCTCCATCTTTGAAGACTTACCTAATTCCCACCTTTTCCTGGATGGTATCTTGGCTACTTGGGCTACTGAATTTTCATTGTCTTCAAAGTCTGGACCACAAACCCTAGAACGGAACAGTGAGTTGTTTGGTGTAACTCTGCAATGATGAAACCCCAGAGTTAAATGATTTCTGTGCCACTTACGGAACCTAGCGCAAAGACAGGTGCAAAAGAAATTGTCAACTTGAGCCTAGTTGCATTGCACTGGATGGAATGGATGTGAACTGATAACATAAGGAAAGAGTCATGGAAGAAAGGATTGGGGCACTGGCTTTCAGAATGCCCCACATTCTCATTTATGGACTCCCAAAATGTGTTAAAAGGCAAAGCATAACAATGATAGAGTGGAGCACTTTCACAAATGACTTTACCTGAGCTAGAGCGATTATCGCCCATTACTCCCTCATGGCAGTTCGGGTTACTTCTTCAGAGGGGGGAATGTTATAGGCAACTGAGTTAGATAGAAATATTATAGGCAGTCAGACAGGGCCAGGCCCTCGAAGGAGCCAATATGGACCACAAGATACTTTGCAAATGTACTTACTGTGGGCCAGACCTCAAGACAAAGGACTAAACAAATGCACCCACGTACCTCCATAGGAATTGACATCAGGGATTCATATTCTAAATAGGTAGATCACCTTGAAGAGCCGCTGACCCAAACCCTTGCAGGAAAAGCCCCTGTTCTGTATTCATGCCTGCTTGCTATGTGACTCGCTTCCCCATTTGATCCCAATTTAATCAGTTTTACCTAAACAATTCTTATTGGTTGACCATAGTTTTGTCCCACCTCGTACTCACCTTGTGATTTCCCATTTTTGCCTACCATGGACCTGCCTCACCTTGTGGTTTTGCTCTATGAAAGTCCCTAGAAAAGACAGAGTCTTGGGCAACGCACTTGGGCCCTCTTCTGTCCCTCCCTCGGACAGAAGCTTTTTTTCCCCCTCAATAAATATATTCTGCTCTTTAAAAAAAAAAAAAGCATCATCTGTATTATCTTGCCAAATGTATTTTTGAATAATCTGTGTCTCCTACAGCGCAAAATCTGTGTGAATATTATGGTTGTGAAGATGTTCATCAAGACAATTGCAGCAGTACTTTAAACTGCCGGTGTAGAGATGGGCTGCAGAGACCTTCCCCACAGTCCCCTTTTTGTCTTGGTAAGTGTTCCACCTGCTTCTGCATGCTCTTCACAATTCGTCTTCTGCACGGGCCAAACAAGAACATCACTGCTGGACTCTCCAGGTGTATTTCAGAGACTGAGTGGTGCGCAATGGGCTTCAGACATAGACATGACTATTCTTAGAAGATTTCTTTAGAGGGGTCTTGATGAGGAGCTGCTGAGGCTGCCTATGGGTGGCTTCATAAGGGCAGGTCGTGAGCCAGTGAGCATCTCGTTAAATTTATATTCCATCCCATTGAGTTGGAAGAGGTTGTTCCTGAAAGTTACTTAGCAAGTACTCTGCTTCGAAGCTTTACAGTGTTCTGAAGACTGCAGAGCGGAGAACAAAAAGCAGTGCTTGAAGAAGAGCTTTGGGGAGCTGGAGTGCACCTGCCTTCCCGGCTACAAGAAGGCAGAGGCTAGTAACAACTGCCAAAAGTAAGAGAAACCGCCCTGTTTCGATCTTGCTGTGACTGGAGCTAGGCGGAAAGGACAGAACTTGCGTCACGTACGCCGGGGTTGGAGTCAGGAAGCAGGGAAGGCAGCAGAGGTCATAGACAGAGCAGCAGCATCTTCTTCGTTACCCTCTGAGCATTCTCTGTGTGCCAGGATCCAACCACACCACGTGGTACCGATCACACAGCCTCTGTCAGAAACGTACTGGTCACCCGTGTTCAGGTGAGGCAGTAAGCTGGTGGCAGAGCCATGGGGTGCCACCCCCGGACAGGGTCCATCCTTTTGGGGTTCAGCCTCACCTGAGTGGCTGAGTCCTCCTGGAGTTCAGAGGGTAGCAAAATGTTCAGCCAGTAGCAAAAGAGACCAAGTGGGATGGGACAGCCCTGTGCCTCCCGGAGCCCTGCGGGAGGTGCTCACCTGCAGTTGTGGGAGCATGAGAAGACAAGAGGAAAAGAAGGAGAAAGACAGGGCAGAACAGAAGAAGATGGAGGGGAGACGTGGAGGCTGGGGGTCTACCCTGCTGCCTGTGGGGTCTCTAACAGGTTCTGGCTGCTCACTGTTTTACAGGTGTCCATTTGGTTACAGTGGGATGGACTGTGAGGACCGTGAGTATCGAAGTCTGGCTATTATAAATCCGTTCTAAAGTAATAAGCATGAACCTCATCCAAACTCCTGCCCAGCCCACCCAAGTCTCTGGCTTCCTTCAGGGAGGGAGAAATCAGCCTGCGGTTTGCCCCATGGGCTGCCCCTCCCACGCTCACCCTGGGGTTGCAGGAAGCAGCCGCTCCACCTCGGGACCCCAGGCAGAGGGTGGGCTGCAGGGCAACCCAAATTGCTATCCTGATGCCCTGTCTGCCAAAATACAAATGTTCTGCCCCTCCTAATAATAAAAGACAGGGACATTTCAAAATCAGTGCTTGTGGGAGAACAAAGCTAGGAGCAAGTAATTGAAATGCTCAAATCCTCCTTGCCCCAGGGTTCTTCACCGGCTTGGGACATGCTGCGAATTCAGTTTCTTCGTTCTCTCCCGTGCCTCGTCCCCAAGGGACTGGGGCAGTACTGACTTTAAATGTTAAACTACTTAAAAGTTTATATAGCAAACTAAAGCTCAGTGATTCAATATGCAGGGACTGACCCTGAGCTTCCTACCAGACAGAGACAGGCCTGATAGAGGCCCTCTGCCACCTTCCGCAGCAAGGACAGGTGGGCTAAGTCATTTCTTCCTCTGGGCCTTCAGTTTCCACAACTGCTAATGGGGAGGTTTGGGGCTGGGAGCAGCTGAGTGCCAGAGCACTTGCCTAACCTGTGTGAGAGCCCCAGTGCAGCCTTCAGTACCTCCAAGAAATGGAAAAAAGGAAACAGAGATAAGGGCTGGCACCAGAGGACCTGACCATTCGGGTCCTTCCTGGATTTCACATTCTGTGGCCCTATGAACCCAGGTTGGAGATGATATGGGTGGCAGTGGTGTGGCAGGAAGAAGCCAATCTAGAGCAGCCCAAGCTATAATTTCAGTAGAAACATAGTATGAGCCACAGATTTCATAGTACACTTTTAAAGTTTCAAGCAAAAATTTACAAACAAGAAAGGCTGGGCACGGTGGTGCACACCTGTAATCCCAGCACTTGGGAGGCTGAGGCAGGAAAATTGCCACAAGTTCAAGGCCTGCCTGGGCTACATAGTGAGTTCAAGGCCAGCCAGGCTCCATAGCAAGACCCTGTCTCAAAAAACAAACAACCACACAAAAAACAAATCGGGCAAAAATTTCAAAGTAGAAGTAGGTGAACTTTATTTGATTAACATATTCTATTTAACCCAACTTATCCAAAATATTACCTTGACATGTAATCGATATAAGAGTATAAATGAGTTAGTTCACATTTTTGGTACTCGGCGTCTGGAAGCTGGTGCATATGTTACACTCCTGGGCCATCTCAGCCCCGTGTTTGAAGTGTCCGTAGCGCCTGTCAGAAGGAGGAGGAGCATGCTTGTGAATGAGCCTCTGGACTGAAGAGTCCACAGGACAAAACCAAATGGCTCCGTGGCTTCTCTATGAGGGACACACTTAACTCTGGCCAAGTCCCTCAGGAAAGGGGGAGTGGAGGGCAGAGGCACAGAGGTGAAGAGGCAGGTGTGGACCTGAGCTGGATCCGCTTCCCACACAACCCAGGAGGGGCCCTCTGCCCTCAGCCTCCTCTGCAGTTCTGGTGCTATATCCGGCCAGGCGTCCTCTTCTGACCGAGTCCTGAAGGCCTGGTTAGGCGAGGCAGGGGATGCTGAAGGGTGTGAGCTGCTTGTCCAACCTGGCTCTGGGGGCGGCCTGATCCTCCTCACACGGAGCATCCCTGGGGACACACAGACCTGCGCGGCGGACAGCTGGGACCAGTCTGCCGAAGGCCGTTCTTACGCTTTGCTTTTCCTTTTCAGAGTTTCAGTTGACCCTCACTATTGTGGGCACCATTTTGGGCGTCTTGGTCCTCAGCCTGGGGATTGTGCTGGTCATCACGATGAGGTATGGGGATGGAGGCGTCCTGTTCCTGGTGGACACGGGTTTTCCAGGCACACCCCGCCTTTGCTGGCAGGGGGAGGGAGATGCGGGGAGGCCTTCCTTCCACCACCACTCTGCTTTCCTTACGTGAACTCTCTTCTGACTGTAGAAATTAAATGACCATCGAGGAAAATCTGGGGAAAAAGAAAGAAAAATAAAAAGGGCAGAGTAAAAAATTACCTATTCAACCCACCACACTGAGGCAACTAACATTTTAGTATACATCCTTCCAAGCTGTTTTCCATATTTTAAATGATATTACATAGCTGTGACTCCTTTTGTTTTTTTTTAATTTTTAAGGTTCACTTTTCCTTAATACTAAAGTACGACATAGCAATCACTTTCTTAAACCATGAAGGATTCTTTGGCAACAATATTGAATTCCACTAATGTTATCAAATATAATTTTTACCAAGTCACTTTCCTGCCCAGCATCCTGCTGCAAATATTCTAGATCAAACTCACCTAAACCCTGAGGTTTTTCAAAAAGTAGAAAGGTTTTATCAGATCAGCATGGCTGTTTCTCAGCTCTGTGTCTTAAATTTTCTTCTCGTAAGGGGAGTAGGGGAGCAGGGCCCATTGTTTTATTCAGCAAATATTTAGCCCGGCTGGATTTCCTGCTGTTAACAGGGAGAGGGTGCTGTCACCCCATCTCCGTCCCTCATACACCGTTGGATCCACTTTACTAAAAACAAGCTGCATACTTTTTCCTAACATTTAGTTCAGACCTTTTATTTTGGCAGAATGGGTATTTTCCCACTAGAATTAGAGGATAGAGAGATTTAAGGTCCCTAGAATATTTTTTGTTGTCTCTTCCCTCTCCCCACCGCTTTTTACTCTATTTTGTTTGTTTTTTGAGTCAAGTTTTCGCTATGCAGTTCAGGCTGGCCTTGAAATAACGATGTAGCCCAAGCTGGCCTCGAACTCTCAGTGATCCTGCCTCAACCTCCTGATTGCTGGGATTACAGGTGTGCACCACCACTCCCAGCTCTTTTATTCCACTCTGCTGTTAGCTCTTCCCCAAGACTCAATGGAAAGAAAGCAAAGCCGGAACCGGTTCTGTGAGCATCAGCAGACAACTCTGGGGCATCTATGCCTTTCAGCTCCTCTTCCGGTTGTAGAGCCAGAGCTGCTCCTTGCCCAGCTACTCATCCAGCTTCTTGGATCACAGCAGGGGTTTCTGGTTTTTTGTTTTGTTTTGTTTTGTTTTGTCTTTTTGAGACAGGGTCTTGCTATGCAGTTCAGGCTGGCCTTGAACTCACTTTGTAGCCCAGGCTGGTCTTGAACCCCCAACAATCCTCCTGCATCAGCCTCCTGAGTGCTGGGATTACACACGTGCACCACCACGCCCGGCCCAAGTTTCCGTTTTCTTACCCACGTCGTAGGGAGGGAAAGTGTGCGCTCAGCCACTTTGGACAAGGGAGTGTGAAAAGGCAGGGACTCTGGATTGGGCTGGCCACCACAGTCGTGGGCTGAGTGACTGAAGTGCAGGTGGGAGCGCACCCTGCAGTGTCGTCGATGCAATGGCTGCATTCCAGGCCCCCGCAGGAGCAGGACTGAGTCCTCTGGGCCAGCAAGGAAGGGAAGGAGGGAAGCAGGGCGTGGGGCGGGGGGAGGCTCACAGTCAGAGTGACTTGGGAGCAGATGCGGCCCCCACTGCAGTACTGCGCTTGGCTTTCAGCACCTCCCCTTCAGGCCCTTGGGACCCCCGGCAGCTCCAAGAAACCCTGGTTGTCCTTTCAAGACCTTGGAATCTCGAACTCATTTTCCTCACAGAGTTGCTTCTGCAGACATCAGCTCTGCTTCAGTGGAAAATTGTATCCCACGAGTCATCATTTCTCTTTGACTTCAATTGTTATCTCTAGGAATAAATGGAAAGTACACTTAAGAGTACTAACATCATTAGCAATACTGGAGTGATGCTGTTGAAATTGCATGTTAATGTTGGATCACATACATCCTAGAGCTTATAAGGAGATCGTCCTTAAACTTCAGAGATCTCCACTGAGCAAAATAATGAGGTTATGGTTAATGCATGTCAGGTCCAAAACTTAGTGCCTTCATTGCTTCAGTGTTAACAGTTGGGAAATCTGGGTGATGGATATATACATATACATGTTATTGAAATATATGGTGAGTGTTTAAGTGTTACAAATTATTACAGTGCTAGGGATATAGCTCAGGGGCACAGCGCCTGCCTGGCAAGTGCAAGGTGCTGAGTTTGATTCCCAGTACAAAAAAAAATAGTTAAAGTGAAAAATTATTACAGTAAAAGACACATTGCCATTAATTCCCTTCAAAATACCTGCTCCTTCAAACACACTTAGCCCATCGTTCTTGTCACTTTCGGGAGCAGTTCTGGAACTCCTTTCACAAGTGTCTTTGTGAGGAGGTATGATCAAAACTACAGTGAACGCTGCTGCCCATTGTCATCCAACAGAAAAGCAAGCTTGTAAAAGCATTAGTGTGTCCTCATCCACCTTATTCACTGGACCTGGCACCATGTGACTTTGGACTTTTCCTTAAAATCAAACTGACCATGAAAGGTAAGTGTTCTGAATCAGTTCAGAACATCAAGGCAGCTGGGACTGCGCAACTAATGATACTCAGGAAAAATGACTTCTGCAACTGCTCTGGAAAGTGACAAAAACAACAAGATAAGTGTATTCAAAGGGAGGGGGAATATTTTTTTTTGAGGGAGAATATTGTGAGGGGGATTGACAGCAGTGTGTCTTGTAATACATTTTTTACATGTGTCTGTAATACATTTTTTAAAACTTTACATACATTTTTTATCACCTCACATAGCTCAATTTACAATAACTAAAACTTAAAAACATTTTTAAAAAGCATTAACATTTACTCCAAGAAACTCTCTGCCACTGTCAGATCCCAACTCTTGTTACTAATGACAGATCAAGGAACAGAAAGAAGAACATCGAAGAGCAGCACTTGATCGAGAATGACTTCCAGAGTCTGCGGCTGCAGCAGACGGGTTTCAGCAATCTGGGAGCTGAAGGCAGCCTCTTCCCCGAGGTCAAGACCAAGGCCTCCCTAGACCATCAGTTCTCAAATCCCTACATAGGCCGGTAAAGCGTTCCTGGCCCTACTGCTAGGTGAGTCGGGGCTTTCTGTTGGGTTGTGCCCAGGGAAATGCCCCGGGGCAGAGTAGGGGCACCTTCATCAACTCTTCGCTGCCCACAGACTTATTGTCTCTTGGTTAAAAACCAAGCTCAATGAGAAAAAGTCTACCACTAGTATAAGTAGCCACCACTTAGTTCCTAACTCTAACCATCTATGTGACTTTAACCCATCACTTAATTTCTTGGGCCTTCTATTTGCTTATCTATAAAAAGAGCAGCTTCCAGTGCCTGGAGGTCCTTTGCAGTTAGCTGCTGCAGGCCTGGCTCTGGCCTAAACTGGTGAGGACCTAGGTCCCAGGTCAGGCCCAGAAAGGACTGTTGGGTATTGGGGCAGTTCTGTGGCACCCTTGCCAGCCAGGCAGTGGCAAGGTGACTTTCTTCTCCCTCCAGACCTCAGGGCAAAACAGTATGTTTCTAAAGAGATAAGGCACCTTGGGTGGTAATATTTCACTTCCCTTGGGAGGACTGGGAGAAGAATAGCTCTGCTCACAGATTTGTACTGGATAACCATAGCTGCCACTGTTCTCTTTGACTCAATGAAATGCGGAAATGGGGAAGCCTGTGACAGGTGGCCATAGGGGGAGGGATGGGGTGCTGAGATGCAAAGAAAAGATGTTGGTGAGAAGAAGGACAAGGGGCCAGGAAAGAGGTAAGGAATGGAAGAGAGTCAACAAAAGAAATGATTTTTAAAAGAAAAGGCTGAGGGTGTGGCTCCGTGGTAGGACATTTCCCTAGCATGCATGGGGCCCTGGGTTCAAACCCTAGCACTGAAAAAGAAAAGGAAGAAAGAACAAAATACTTGAAAATAATAAACAGAGACAAAAGGAAGAATAGGAAGAAAGTGAAGAAGTTAAACAATGTTGATGATTTAGCGTCTAAATTTTCTCCTGTTTCTGTTGGACTGCATCTTCCCTCATAGTTTTGTCTCTTTTTTGTCTTTCTGTCTAGAATGATGAAAATGTGGAACCTCCACAGCCCCAGCCCATTGTATAAGCTACTATTTTGAGAATTTAGACGGTCCTGGAGAAGCATGTGTGGTATAGACCTGACCATTGGACACCTGCTGGCCTCTCTGAACAGAGCCTCTGAGTGGGGCAAGGAAGTTTTTCCTTGCTAAAGAAGCATCTATGAAATTAAATGCTCACACATGCTGTTAGCACTTGCAAGATAGGTGATTTTTCTCCAATCGTACAAAGCACCTAGACAATGGTTAGTTGTTTGTTTTGTTTTGTCTTTTTGAGACAAGGTCTCGCTGTATGTAGTTCAGGCTGGCCTTGAGCTAGCTCACTTTGTAACACAGGCTGGTCTTGAATTTGCAACGATTCTCCTGCCTCAGCCTCCCAAGTGCTGGGATTACAGGCATGCACCATCACACCTGGCAATGGTTAGTTTTATTTGGGTTTGGTGTAGTGTTTTTTCCTGGCAGGCCAACACTATTTGCAACCTACAGGAGAGTCCCTCACAATACCGTACTTGTTCCTGGAGAATGTTATTCTGTAGCTGACAGCTTGTGGATGTGTGACCTAGTTCTCCTGGGGAACCCTGACTGACCAGCTGTGCAGCTCCCAAGAAAGGGAGAACATGCTAACCTTTAAGTTCACTCTCAGGTCAGAAGAAGGATGCTACTTCTGTCTCTCCCACACCCTTTAACAGCTGGGAGCTTGTGACTTGGCCTAACCCCAAAAAGACAGGAAAAAAACATGTCTCTCAGTTTTTTGAGGACCCATTGAGAGTCTGGAACTTTTTGATATTAATTAGAAGAACTGGGGTCCAGCATCGTGATACATCCCTGTATTCCCAGCTATCTGGGATGCTGAGGTGGGATGGTTGCAAATTCAAGGCCAGCCTGGGCAATTTACTGAGATCCTGTCTCAAAATACAATGAAAAGTTCTAGTGATGTAGGTTAGTGGTAGAACACTTGCTTAGCATGCATCAGGCCCTGGTGAAGAAAAGAAAAAAAAAAAAAAAAAAACACTGCTGCCAAAAAATAAATAAAAGAAGTTATGGACCAGAGATGTCTAGAATAGGGTATATTCTAGAGTTTTTAAAATGCTGGTTGGTAGCAGAAGTCGGAAGAAAACACAGGACCAGAGGTAGGAGAGAGCCAGAAGCTGTGCTGGGAAGATGAGTAATGGAGCAGGGGGCAGGCTCCACCTTCTCCCATGGGTTCCCCTCCTCCATGAGCAAAGGAACACGTCCTCCGGCTCATGCTCTTCACGCAACCAGGGCCGGCGAAAGGATACAAAACAGGAGTCGGCACGAGCACACTTTGAAATTGCAGGCCTCTGGTGGTAACAAGGAGCTTGTGCTCAGAGTCCATCTGTCCTGCAGTCCTGCTTCAGTTTGCAGACTGACTTTACTAGGGACCCAGCCTGTCCTGGTGACAGAGGCTTAGCTGTGGCCACCAGCACCCCCAAGATCGGGGTGACCACATCCAGTGTATATTATAAGTGTAAACTGTGTGCTTGTATATGTTTAATGTCTGACTCCCTTGAAGGTATTTTTGTTTGCTATTATTATTTGTTCTTGCAATAAAATGTCTTTGATAGGTGCAATCCTTTCTTATACTTCAGGTCTTTGCTGATATATACAGCAACAAGTCTGATTTTAAACAGCAGATGTGACATATAATAAACTGGAGTGGTTGACATCTACTGTCCTCATGAGTGGTTATCAGAGTACCTTAAGTGGTATTTTAACACACTGTACCCTTTTTTTTTGGCTGCTATCCCCCTCACACATCCCCCTCCTGCACCATGACAAGCAGCCCAGCATTCTGGGTGGGACCAGTCCTAGCCCCGCTCCAGGGGTTGGCTCAGGTTGGCACATACCAATCAGTGAAATCCTGTCCCTCCTTGTCATGGGACTTGAACACACGACCTAAGTGGATACAGTGAAGATGTAGCCTCAACTTTGTTAGGAGGTTTGCAGGAAGAAAAACTCTTTACTCTGCAGAGTGAGCTTGGGGCTGTGTGGCTGCAAATTGTAGGGAACCTCTCTGGTCTCTCGTTGTACCCTGGAGAGAAACAGTGGTAGGTATGAGGAAAATAAGGACAAGAGACAAGAGCTGGGTCGGGTGGAGTTACCTCTTACCTGATGGGTAAGAGGTCTGACTTCAACAGTAGGGGCGTTTATCTTATACTCTTGCAAAGTTAGTATCAGGAGACGTAATGTTGCCTAGCAACTAACGACTGTAATTGTCCAGGCAGGATGCTTTTCTCAATACTGAGGTAGCGTGACTGCTTGAGGCACTCTGGCTCTGTTCTGCCCTCACACATTTGACCAATACCCAGCTCCAGCGGCTCCCAAGAGGGAGCTGCTTCACTTTTGCTAAGGACACAGCTGACACACAGAGGAAGGTAGAACTGAGACACGAAGAGAACTGGAGCAGAGCCTTGTTCCATCCCTGCAGATTCTGGACTTTCCTTTGCTCTTATGCCAGTTCAAAGGGTTTGTTATCTGCAGCTGAAAGCATCCTCATGGATATGATTTTGTTTACTCTCATGTGCTCAAGGCTAGAGGGTGAATGGAGTAAAAAAAACTTTTAAGAGCTACTAATGCCCACAGTAAACCATTAGCCATCAAATAGCTAGTGGATAGCAGCAGAATTAACGCAGACATGGCTTTAAGTTGGCTGACCACTGAAGCTGGACTTACAGTTCGTATTTCTAACCTGTATGTTACCTCCCTTCACTGGAAGGTGGTTCTGGGTTGGAGACTAGCAGCAGGCTATTTGAACCTTGTTTCTAGAGAGCCCAGTCTGGTGCCCCTCTGAATCACACACACAAGCTTCTCAGAGGTCCCGAGCCATGCAAGCTCTGGACTTCACTGTCCCTCCTTCAGAAACTGTCATTGCTACCATGAGAATAAAAATAACGTTCTAGACATATCTAGGCAGGAGATTTATGAAAATGGCTTTTGTACCCACTGTCACTTTTGGTTCTTATAACCACCCTCCTGCAGCCTTGGAGGGCCATCAGTGTGAACTTCCTCAGATGTGAGTCTGGTTGTGACCTGTCCTGGCTCGGTGCTTTCAGGGTTCTCCACCAGGAAGGTGTCACTCATGTCACCTGGCTCTACTTCTTGCCCTTCCTGTAGTGCCCGACACCACCCCCACACACTGCAGCTCCACTGACTCGCCCTGATTCCCTTCCACCCGGAAGGCCCCTTCTTGCAGCTGCCTGATTGTTAGGCATTAGTGGGCCTGAGAGACAAAAGGAGGAGAGGGGCCCCAAAATAGCATGCCTTGCCGGTTAAGTACGGAAAGATTTAGATGTACAACACGTTTATAACCGTTTGTTAGGCCTCAGATCTAAAGCGATTCCATGGAGCACAGTGACTTGTTAAGGTTACACACCAGGCATGATCCTTCTGACACCTGGCCACCCGGCCATCCAATTCCAAAATCAGAGTACCCAAGGCAATAGCCAGCATTCCTGACTGCCGTAGCCTACAGCTCAGTGTTATCAGGAAAATAAATGTTCTGTAAAGACCCTCCTGTTTCAGGCTGGGACCCAGTTTAAAGGAAGAATTTATCTTTCATAAGTTTCTTACATTACTAAAGCCCCTGAAGAAGCTGGAGGTGGTGGCACATGCCTGTAATCCCAGTGCTCAAGAGGCTGAGGCAGGAGGATTGCCATGAGTCTGAGGCCAGCCTGGGTGACATAGTGAGTTCAAGGCCAGCCTAAACTACATAGCAAGACTTTGTCTCCAAACAAGGAAAAAAAAAACCCTGAGGAAACACTGACCACTGAAAAAGGGCAGCAAGGCATGTTGCAATTCCAAAGTGACTTCCAAGTAAATGGGCAATAAGCTTCATGATTACCCTAGTTCTCTGACCCCCAGGGGTAACTTTTGTGTGCAGAAAAACCTGCTGCCCTCCTCACTTGAAGGTGTACTTCTCTCTAGATCTTCTTTACAATAAGTTCTGCTTGTGCTTCTGTGTGGCCGCCTGTGTGTTTTGACTGAATTCTTTCATCAAGGGCAGGAAGAACTGAGGACTGAGGAAGCTAGGGGCCAGTTCCTCTGTGCCAGGG